GCATAAATTCATGCTGCATGGAAATAACGTGAGACAAAATTTCATTGATGCTATTAACAAGACTAGTAGCAGAAAATCATTCAAGTTGAAACTTGATCACTCAAGTTGAAACTTGATCGATAATCTACATAATCTAAGTTCATTCAAATTGAGTTTTTAATTCAGAATTTCTACAATATCTGGTGACCAACGGTAGGAAGGCTTTGTTCGTCAATCATTTGGTGATTAACGATTATTTTCAGTTAGCCAATGACATATACCGTACTAATTACAGTAACTCTGTGATTATCCTTGAGGTTAAACGAATCCTATTCTCCCTCGAAATAATTGCGTAATCGTGGGAAGGCAGGAACTGTTTCTTTTGGTGACTATAGAAAGTTCTGTGTACAAATATAATCGGTGTACGGAGTATCACAGATACGTTAATGTCAACGACTTGAGTATCACAGATACGCGAGTGTCAGCGACTTGAGTATCACAGATACGCCAATGTCAACGACTTGAGTATCACAGATACGCCAATGTCAACGACTTGAGTATCACAGATACGCCAGCGTCAACAACTTGAGTATCACAGATACGCCAGCGTCAACGACTTGAGTATCACAGATACGCCAGTGTCAACGATTCGAGTATCACAGATACTCGAACGTTGATAAACCATTACATATTACCTTACATATTACATTGCATATTACATTACATTATTACATTACATAATACATTATATATAACATTACATTATGTTGTGCAGCGTTATATCTGTGCAGCGAAGTTCAACTTTTATATGCAATTTGAATGAACATCAACTCGATGAGTCATCGTTAGAAATGATTGATACGGTACTCTAAACGTACCTACGCAAAGCGTTCAATAATATTGATACGCAATGCGTTAAAGAGTCAGCGGTTTTGGGTTGAAGCTATAACACACAACTTGGTCTTATATTCCTATAGCGTTATGAACAAATCAGAAAGTTGTTGTTTACTCAATAACAACATATCGCAACCTATTGATCAACATATCGCAACCTATTGATCAACATATCGCAACCTATTGATCAACATATCGCAACCTATTGATCAACATATCGCAACCTATTGATCAACATATCGCAACCTATTGATCAACATATCGCAACCTATTGATCAACATATCGCAACCTATTGATCAACATATCGCAACCTATTGATCAACATATCGTACACTCTGACTCCAAAATTTGGACTCATAACTCCAGCGGTATTAAATTAACACAAAAAAGGAAACATCACACTTATCGCACTTGTAAAAGAATAATATTGAATTTCATTAATATGAAAAAATATTGATTATTCTAGCTTTTGCTGTTTCAAAGGTTGGCGAAATAATTCTTAGTCTACTATATTTGTGTCATGCATATTTGTATATGGTAGATCAAATATATATATATTATTTTCATGACAGACATTGGGAGCCTGAATAGAACACTTTCGGCATTGGTTATATATTTATATTAAAAAAATTAACAAACTTTTAGACAAATTTCAGGCGGGATTCTATTAAAACTCTAATCCCAAAGAAGACGTTTGTTCAATATAAGAAGATAATAAAATTAGATGTTCATTTGAATATACAGTTATGCATACGACATTTAATTGAGCAGTTGAAGGAAAAGTATATCTAGAATCATATTAATTCAAGTCAACGAAAATCATGAAAACTAGCCGTTTCGAGACCAGAATAAATAAGGATGAATTAGAATGCGAAGCTTGCGGTGATAAATGTCGAGAAAACTGGATGTATGCAAGGAGACAGGAAGAGGAGAGATAAATAAGTTGAAAAAATGGAGTTGCAAGGGTGCACAATACGTGGAGGAAGGAGAGGGTGGAAGAGCAATGGGAGAGAAAGGATAGGGTGGAAGAGCAATGGGAGAGAAAGGATAGGGTGGAAGAGCAATAAGAGAGCAAGGATAGGGTGGAAGAGCAATGAGAGAGAAAGGATAGGGTGAAAGAGCAATGGGGAGAGAAAGGATAGGGTGGAAGAGAAATAAGAGAGACAAGAGGGGATGGAAGAGCAATAAAAGAGAAAGGAGAGGATGGAATAGCAATAAGAGAGAAAGGATAGGGTGAAAGAGCAATGAAGAGTGAAAGGATAGGGTGGAAGAGCAATGGGAGAGAAAGGATAGGGTGAAAGAGCAATGGGAGAGAAAGGATAGGGTGAAAGAGCAATGGGAGAGAAAGGATAGGGTGGAAGAGCAATGGGAGAGAAAGGATAGGAGCAATAAGAGAGAAAGGATAGGGTGGAAGAGCAATGGTAGAGAAAGGAGAGGGTGGAAGAGCAATGGGAGAGAAAGGATAGGGTGGAAGAGCAATGGGAGAGAAAGGATAGGGTGGAAGAGCAATGTGAGAGAAAGGATAAGGTGGAAGAGCAATGGGATAAAGGATAGGATGGAAGAGCAACACGAGGATAAAGGAAAGGAAGTGAGGTAGGAAGTCAAGGATCCATGATCACGGACGCCACTTCCGCTGGGACAGAAACGGCTTCTGCGTCCGCGGATCCGGCGAATAGTGGAAAGGTGGAAAAACGGACCAAAAGTAGGAAATATGCAGTAAACTAAGATATAAAGATTGTGAAAAGAAGACAGTAGAAAAAGAAGCAATAAATTAATATAAAAAGATCGAAAAATAAATAATGATAGTCGGAACAGAAACAAATACATAATACGGTATACACGCAAAAACTGACATTATTACAATTATATCTTCATATGTAATAATAATTACACATATAACTTCATAATTATATTTTCATATTATTACAATTATATCTTCTACGATATACCTTATTGTGAAAAAAAGATAGTAGAAACAGAAACAAATATTAAATATACACGCAAAAATTACATTATTACAATTATATCTTCATATAACATATTCATTACTATATCTATATCTTCTACGATATATCTTCATATATCGTATAACATTCCAGTGGACGTTACACCCAGAAAAATGAGTGTGAGAGTTTGTCCGAACAGCGATGCACTAGTGAGTCATCCTGACGCAGTTCAACCCGTATCAGTGCTACGTACGCTCTCTGATCAGGCTGTGGTTAAGAAAGAGAGTCAATAATTGGATGATATCACCCATTAATTTTTATTACTGCTGTAAAGACGCAACGTCAGCATTTCATGCGATGTTTATTTAGAGAACGTAAAATGTTCCCCGATGTCTGTTTAGAAAACATTACGTTAAACGAGTAACGTTCGACGACCTGCACGTTGTACAACGTACGAAGCTCAGCAAAGTTCGAATTTAAATTTAAATATTTAATTTAAATTTATTTCATTGTATGAAATTTAATTCAGTACAAACTCTGGAGGAAAAAGTGCCGACGCGGGTGGAAAAAGTGCCGACGCGGGTGGAAAAAGTTCCGACGTGGGTGGAAATAGTTCCGACGCGGGTGGAAAAAGTTCCGACGCGGGTGGAAAAAGTTCCGACGCGGGTGGAAAAAGTTCCGACGCGGGTGGAAAAAGTTCCGATGCGGGTGGAAAAAGTTCGATGCGGGTGGAAAAAGTTCGATGCGGGTGGAAAAAGTTCGATGCGGGTGGAAAAAGTTCGATGCGGGTGGAAAAAGTTCCGATGCGAGTGGAAAAAATTCCTATGCGGGTGAAACAAGTTCCGATACGGGTGGAAAAAGTTCCGATGCGGGTGGAAAAAGTTTAGATGCTGGTGGAAAACGTTGAACGCGGGATTAAAACGTTTTTCAAACTCAAACTAAAAAACTCAATTAACAAAGATGTATGTTTTTAATAATTTGCATGCATTGAACTAAACGTAGTCAAATAAGAAACAGAGCATTTTTTGCGCAATAGTAAATAAATAATAAATGCCTTTACACAGGCATTTTTTCTACACTGTAAACGACACGGGAATTTCAACGCTAAGGATACTTCTCAAAATTCACAATGAATATAAATAGCACATCAGGAATATGGTGGGCAACACCCCTAGTGTATGATAATAAATATATTTTGGAATTGTAGGAAAGGTGACTCAGTTAAACAAAATGTATCAGTTCCAGTTCAAAATGTTACCTAATTTATATAGGGAAGTCAAGTTCCAGGTTTTTTTCGATCTAATAGGACAGGTTTTATTCACCGGTTTTGTGGTTCAAATTTAAACCTATACAGAATTGATGCCTGCTCGAGTCATTTAGACAAAACTAACGATGATCAGGGAATGAAGTAGAAGTAGATTTCGTACTTCAAGGAAGTAGGAACGTTGAACTTGATTGTTATAATAAATAAAACTTTCTAGTTATATATACGGCAGTCATTTCCATAGAGGGCAATAGTTTCAGGTATAGAAATTACGTATTACGTTCTTGTCAAGCCGCAAGAAATGAATAAATAAATAAACAAATAAATAAGAAAAATTCGTCCTCAAATTGAGTCTTATTGAATTTTAAATGAATCTGAAATATTAGGCGGCGAAACTTTAAAATTACATAAAACTGCGTTATTTTAGCCCATTTTTTAGCGCTAAATGTTTTTAGTTTAGCGTTTTTACAAATGCGTACAAATGCGTTTTTTAGTTTTAATTTGTACAGGAATCCTTCGCTATATCGCGTTTCCTATACTGCAGCTTCCCTTCATCTCATATTGATGAGAAAAATCGTTATTTAAAAAAGTTAATTTATGAAATATTAATAGGAAGAATCTTTCGAAGATCTTCGCAGGTTAGGTAGTGGGTTTCTGAAGAACATGATCTCGATCGGCAATTAAAAGTGTTGGAACTTGGAAGTGTTAGTTAACATTTGGAACTATGAAAACATGCCAAACAATTCAAGTATAAATAATTTTATAAGTATCGCCAGTTGATCAATTAAAAATCGCGGATTTCACCTATCGCAGCCACCACGGTCTGGAACTTAACACCGGCTATAGTTGATGGATTAGTAATTTTAGTTACGTATTGTTCAAGATGTCCAATTCTGAAAAGAAAGTATATGCTTACCTTTTTGTTGCTTGTAGCTAATTCTGACGTCTGCCTCACTTCGCCGTTCTTCGTACCGTTGCTTTGAGCGACGAGTTTTTCAGCTTCCGTTTTATCCGGACGTTCATCACTTTTTATTTCACCTACAACGCCTTTAGAATCATCATTTAAATCGAAACCACCAACCACCCCAACGACATCACCGGCACCACCCACCACATCACCACTACCGCCGTTTTCCACGGGCATTTTCCTTTGACTCCGAACTAGACTTTTAAATCTTGTACACTACGGGACTACAAACAATGATGTCATTCATGCGCTTAACTACAGCTTATTTGAAGAGTTTCGCACATATGTAGGACTACAATAATTCTAATTTACACTTGAAACACACGCTTAATCATGCGTATTTCAAATCATCCAAGAAGACAGTGGGAGAGGAAAAGACACAGGATGATATCGTCTGGAACTGGAAGCGTGACGCACCTCACTTGAACGCGTCACAAGTTACACTGACAGGCGCTAGTTGAGGAGGCGGCCGGCAGGTCGCGCCCCACAGACATTCAGGCATCCTTTCAAGGACTCCGCTTTCGCACAACCATGGCGACAGCAGCGCGGCTCTCATGTATTGATTTTTTACTGGACCCTTTTAGCAGAATGCGCCAAAGCACGCGGTTGTTTCCGTTAAATTTCATAAGAATTTTCTTTAATTTTCTGCTATGAAAGCGCGTTATTCAGTAAACATCTATAATATTATTATTATTATTACCGAACTTTCAGTGGTCAAGTGTGATTACATGCTTAAATTTTACTCAATCGAATTAATAATAGAATTCCCTCAAGAACATCTACTAGACAATTAATTTTGCTGCATTTTAAATAAGAAACTATTTTGCCAAATGCTGTGATTCTCAACACTATTAAATAACAAACATACGGTATATAATTTGAATGGAAAGTGTACAACCACACAACTGTACTACTACGCGCGCGTGTTCCTGGTCCACCGCCGTGATTGGTGGAAGTCGTTTTCGTCTACGGATGCGATTGGATTAAAAACTTATGATATAAAAATACTATGTGTTACAAAAGTGTTTATCAGGACACAAATATAGCTTAAATGCCTCATTTAAGCTTGAAAAGCTCACCTTTACTGCATTCTAAAAGACCATAAAATTTGACTTCTTCAAACACATAGATCCTACCTATGCATTTTCAATTAACGCAGATCTTCACTATTTTCAAGGTTGATGTGAGTATTTTTACGACAATGTTAGGTTCTCCTAATAGAATTTTTTTATCTGTTCAATGCGTTGGTTAATATATCTCATGATGCATTTTTTATTCAATTGACTTTGCTTAAAAAATAACTCGCACTCATGGTTTTCAAGTCAACAAAAATCGTGTAATTATGAAAAAATGTAACTCAGTACTCACTGCAGTGAGTGACAAAGAGCGCATTTTCTCGTCGACGAAAACGTGGTCACGGACGGACAGACAGACAGACGGACGTGACGAGCACAATAGCGCCTTTTTTCCATGAATGAGAAAATGCGCTAAAAACTGCTCGGTGGTATAGCGTTATAAGATGGCTGGAATATGGCAACGCTGCTCGGTGGTGTAGCGTTATAAGATGGCTGGAATATGGCAACGCTGCTCGGTGGTGTAGCGTTATAAGGTGGCTGGAATAAGGCAACGCTGCTCGGTGGTGTAGTGTTATAAGGTGGCTGGAATATGGCAACGCTGCTCGATGGTGTAGCGTTATAAGGTGGCTGGAATATGGCAACGCTGCTCGATGGTGTAGTGTTATAAGGTGACTGGAATATGGCAACGCTGCTCGATGGTATAGCGTTATAAGGTGGCTGGAATATGGCAACGCTGCTCGGTGGTGTAACGTTATAAGGTGACTGGAATATGGCAACGCTGCTCGGTGGTGTAGCGTTATAAGGTGGCTGGAATATGGCATGCTCGGTGGTGTAGCGTTATAAGATGGTTAGAATATGGCAACGCTGCTCGGTGGTGTATAGCGTTATAAGGTGGCTGGAATATGGCAACGCTGCGCGGTGGTGTATAGCGTTATAAAATGGCTGGAATATGGCAACGCTGCTCGGTGATGTAGCGTTATAAGGTGGCTGGAATATGGCAACGCTGCTCGGTGGTATAGCGTTATAAGGCGGCTGGAATATGGCAACGCTGCTCGGTGGTATAGCGTTATAAGGTGACTGGAATATGGCAACGCTGCTCGGTGGTGTAACGTCCTAATAATATCATTAACTTCAACAAAATTAGTCCAAACATCGACGTTGGAAGATCCTTTAAGCAATAAAAAATATAACTCAGTTCTCACTGCAGTGAGTGACAGAGAGCGCATTTTCTCGTCGACGAAAACTTGAGGTCACGGACAGACGGACGGACGGACATGGCGAGCACAATAGTGCATTTTTCCACAAATGTGAAAATGCGCTAAAAAGTAACATTACCAATATAATCAAGTAATTCACGCGTTCGTGCTCGTAATTCAAAATAGACGGACAAATATTGGAACATGAATCTTGTATAACTATCCACAAAAATTTAAACATTTTTTAACAAAACTTTGAACTGGAATAAAACTCACTGAGTTACAACACAACTTCAGTTCGTAACTATAACTCAAATCAAGTGACGTTTTTATGGAGTTTTTATGAACTGTTGTGAGGTAATAGATAATGAGTAAATAGTAGTTGTTTATTAATAATATAATATTCATAAACAAGTATTAAATGGTCAGTTCGCTTCTAAGTTCAACATACAATAATATAATAAATTAATACTGAGGAATTTGAAATTGAGAGCAGCTGTTTAATAGTGAATTTCATCAAAGGATGGCAACATCTAAATGATCAAATAAAACACTCGATAAATCACAGTTCTATTTTATTGAATAATTTGTTATCAATGATAGCTTTCTCTATAGACATCAATTACTTCAACATCAGACTAGCAACATGAACTAAAGCGGAGATATAGCAACACATGAAACCTCTCGATGTTTCCAAATGTATGGCGAAACCGAATAGCCTTGGCGTTGCCAGATTTGACAACATAAAAGCTTCGTTGTTGCCAGATAGGGAAAAAGCGAGGGTCTTTAATTGAGAAGGTCCAGTCCCTAACAAAATTCGGGGAATGCCTATAGGCTTTGGCCGAATAGTCACTACAATCGGCGCAAAGTCATTCTGGGTCTGCTTGGCCACCCGCTCGAAATCAGTTTCTGGTCAGAATCTCCTTTCTGACTTTATAAGAGTATGAGAGTATGCCTGAGAGTATGATAAGGGTTGACCGAGCCTAGTCATACCGAGCTAGCAAGCTGCCCTTCCAACCCTGAGCCGAAGCGGACATAGAGAAGTTGATCTAGGTGTGGTCCGAGTCCCAGGCGACCCTAATGCAAGGTCGCTCACGCCTCTAAATTTTGTTAGGGGTGGACAGTATCACAATGATTTCAAAGGCATGGCACGTTCGTCGTATGGCATTATCTTAATAATATTATTTGTATCCTCTAAAAAATTTAAGGAAAATCTGGGCTTCTGACCATGAGTCGCTACACTTGGATTAAAGTTATTTTGTGTCTGCTTGGCCTCCCGATCGAAATCAGTTTCTGATCAGAATCTCCTTTGAAACTTTAAATTCGCCTGAGATTATGATATGGGTTGGCCGAGTATTGCCGAGCTTGCAAGCTGCCTATAGAGGCTGCATGCCCTTTAATGCAAGAGCTGAAATGTATAAGGAGCGGCTGATTTAGGTGCTTCACGAGTCCTAGGCAACACCTATTTCAGAGTCGGGACCTCATCTAAATTTTGTTAGGACAGCTTGAATATCTCTCATTATCTTTACAAAATTTATTAATTAACTTAACAAACCACAAAAATTTGTTGTTCATAGTCGTAACTTTTGACTAGCTAAGCTATAACACTGAGAAATAAGTGATAATTTTCCATCCAAATAGCTCGCGTGTGGGTCATTCTGATGCACTGTGACACGGCAAATGACGTATCAGTGCTACGCACAAGAAGTGTCGATTTTTGAACAATGTGACCCATCCATTTTTTGAGTGCATCTTCAGTAACTCGAACAAAAATTAACATAAATAAGAAAAAGGCAAGAAGTAGCCATATAAACAATGCCAAAGAATATCCTTTGACACAAAAAAGCCAATTATCTCATTTAGATAATATTCCTTAACATTTCTCTTTTTTGAGTGCACCTCCAGTAATTCGAAAAAAATCAACATAAATAAGAAATATAGGCAAGAACTAGCCAAAAACAAAAAATATCCTTTGACATAAAAAAAGCCAATTATCTCATTTAAATAATATTCCTTAACATTTCTCTTACCATAAAAACTATGGAAGCTTTTCCCAACGACCGCCGACACCTTCAATGCAGGATAATAATATTTTATGTATAATATATCGGCAACCGTGCATAGCATGTATTTAAACACATGTGCACAGACATTATGTTTTTCTAAGAAAAACATGATATCTAAACGATGTTCCATGTCTACGGAGTTATATCATGGCTAAACTATATCCCGTGTCCAAAAAATGTATCATGCATTAACAATGAATCATGGCTTAACAAATCAAGATGGACCAAGTGTTACCATGTCTACATAATGTTGCATATTTAAACGATATATCATGTCCAAACAATGTACCATAGTTGAGCAATCATGTACACATGTAGTATCATGTCCAAACATGTACCATAGTTACACAATGGATCGCGTCTGAAAAAAAAGCCTGAATTAAACAGCGTTTGCGAGGCTGCAGGTGTGAGGCCACTGAAGAGGCCACTTAGGAGGCCACTGAAAAGGCCACTGAAGAGGCCACTGGAAGAGGCCACTTATGAGGCCACTTATGAGGCCGCTGAAGAAGCCGCTGAGGAGGCCACTGAAGAGGCTACTTAGGAGGCCACTGAGTGGCCACTGAAGAAGCTACTAAATAAGCCACTGAAGAGGCCACGGAAAAGGCCACTTAGGAGGCCACTGAAGAGCTCACTGAAGAGGCCACTGAAGAGTCCACAGGATCGCTCGTCCCGTTCCCTGTGGGAGAGGCTGCAGTTATATCTTTGAGACACTTGGGCGAGCGTAGGCGTCTCGCTTTTGGCACAACCGCTCGGCGAGGCCTTGAGACACCCAAGTGTCTCAAAACAGCGGACAATTTTCTCTCATTGTAGTTGACATTTTACAATCGCTGCTTAAGTTTAATATACAAATACTACTCTTGGTTGATTATAATAATGCATGGGTACTTGTATCAATACGTGATACTTCATACAAGCACAACAGTTATTGCACACGTCACAGTTATTGCTCTGTTTGCTCTCACCCTCGACGCTGCCGCCGTTGCACGCCAGCCTCGCCACGTCGTTGACCAGCGCCTGCGGGACGTGAGATGTCATCGTCACTTCATTATTATACATCATCATAATACTGTATCATTCATAATCTAATATAATAATATTCATAGAGGTTTCAGCGTTTATTATGCCGTAGGCCTGTCGCCGATTCCTAACGTAGCAGAGCATTCACAGCTTGTTGAGGTCTCGAACTCGCAACTCACTGCTACAATTCTGCTGTGCTTAACCGCCCGGCCTCCTTGCCGATTCTGACCAGAAACTGGCGCACAGAGCTGGGATCGAGTCGTGATCTCCTACCTCAGCGGTCGTGATCTCCTACCTCAGCGGTCGTGATCTCCTACCTCAGCTGTCGTGATCTCCTACCTCGGCAGTCGTGATCTCGGTAAGCACGACGTCCAGCTTATTCACGACCTCGCGGACGTCGTCCTCGGAGAAGACTAACGGGCTCTTGAACTTGAGGACGTTCCGGTGAGGCCCGTCGCTGCTCAGCAGCACGTACTGCTCCTTCAGCCTGCACGTCGCACGTCGAATACACTCGTGACGGGCGGGGTACGAACACGGTACGTCATACGACGTAGAATTTGATGTATTAATCTTTGATGTATTAATTAATTAATTTATTAATTTGATGTATTAATTAATTTATTTATTAATTTGATGTCTTAATTAATTATCAGGTACGTGGCACGGGTACAGAGTGTAACGTACATCAGATCATTATATATCATGGTAGGTAAATTGGTACGTTTATGGATGAATTGATTAACTTAACGCTATTAGGAACTTAGTACGTCTATAAGCCAGTCGACCTTGAATCCTTAGCATCTATTTATCATATATTAAAATCCTCTAGATGCTTATATTATACGGCCAATGATAAATATAAAATGCATATGCCCAATGATATCATTTGCATCACACAATAATTAGATGACCAAATCATACGGTCAATGATAAAATATACAATATACCTGTACGATGTCAGCAATATTTTCAAGATACAATAATTAGACGACCAAATCATACGGTCAATGATATTAATATGGAATATATATGTCAAATGATATCATTTTCATCACACAATAACTAGACGACCAAATTATACGGTCAATGATAAAATATAGAATACATATGCCTAATTATTTTGGATAACACAAGGATTAGACCGCCAGATCATACGGTCAATGATAAAATACATAATATTTTTATCGATAATTCGATGATAACAACATTCTCAACATACAATAATTAGATTAACAAATTATACATCATAATTACATGATTATAAAAATTATACGGTCAATGATATAATATAGAATATATATAACCAATAATATTATTTTCGTCACACAATAATTAGACGAGCAAATAATAAATGAATAAATTATTAAATTAGCGCACCTGTTAATGACGTGGGCAGCGTGGGCTGTAGCAGGCGCCCTCGTCTCCCTGCACGTGACGAGGTCCACGCCCCAGAACAGACCCATGCCCCGCACGTCTCCTGCCACGTGTGTCATAGAATAGAATAGAATAGAATAGAATAGAATAGAATAGAATAGAAGTGTCGGCACTGAAGAAATAGGCCCATGGCCTGTTGCCGATTCTTGAATTTTTCGTGACTTGATTCACAAGGGATCCGGCCTTTGTAACCCGATCTTTCCATAGCTGACATAGAATA